CGGGCGGTGCGCGGCTCAGGCCGCTCTGCAGCCGCTTTTTGGGGCTTTTTTGGGGTCTTTTTTGGGGTGGGGTGTCCAAGGAGATGAGCAACCCCTCCCACGAGGACACAGGACCTACCTGCTCAGCCAGCTGATGCTTGTGCTCCGCCGAGGTCTTCTCCAGCTCGGCGATCCTGGTCTGCTGCTGCTGCACCACGGACCTCAGGTGCTTGATGCAGTTGTGGTTTGGCAGCTCATCCTTGGGCATTTCCAAGCTGTGGAGCGTTACACAAAACAAAGAGGGGGAGGCCTCGCATTAGGGAGAGTCCTGGACCAGAGCACAGCCCCCAGCCCAAATCCCACCTGACAGGACCCCAGGGACCCCAGCGCTGCACCCTCAGTGTGACCCGAGCCAAACTGGGGGGAGCTGTGGGACCAAAGCAACCCCAGCTCAGCAGGCAATGAGAATTTCCCCCCTCCCCATGATCAGGTCCAGGTCCAGGACCCTCCATGGGCCTGATCCAGGCTCTGGCCCCGTTCGAGGGATCCCATAGGGTCCTGGTCACAGCACGCGAATGGGATGGACGTTGGCACCGGGAGCACGGTGCCAGGGCCAGACTGGATCCCACCACACACAGGAGGGAGCCACGCTGGGCTGGAGCGGCTCTGGGTGGATTCAAAGAGGCCCCAGGACCCCGTTTCCAGCAGTCAAACACCCCCCAAACCCCAGCAATGAGCAGGAGAGCCCAGGGTTGTGAACCAAGTCTAAAAGCAAACAGGTTTGGCTAAAAAATTTCCCCTTCCCACGCCTTTCTGCAGCACCACGGCCTCCAGAGCCCCCTGACCCCCCGAGATCCACGCCTGGGGGGCAAAGGGGTGACCCCCACTCTGCAGCAGAGCCCCCCCCCAGGGCCATCCTCACCCGCAGCCCTGCTCGCAGGTCACCGGGCGCTTGGGGTTGTGCTCGCAGTCGTTGAGGTGAGACATGAGGTTGTCGAGCCGCACCACGGCCGTGCAGCCGAAAACGGCGTTGTCGCAGGTGATCTGCAGCTTGGAGAGCATGTTCCGCATGATCCGCGGCACGGGGCGCAGGTGGGCGACCGTCACCACGCTGCGGTCCACGGGGCACGTCTGCTGCTGCGAGAACCACTGCGTGATGCAGGCATTGCAGAAGGCGTGCTCGCAGTGAGGAGCCTGCGGGCACAAAGAGCCACGCGTTAACGGGGGGGGGACATGGCCGCTGGGTTCTTTTGGGGAGCGGAGAAAGGTCCCGGGTCTGCGAGGGGAGCACAGCGGGGGAAAGAGGCAGCTCCATGCACAAATAGTGTGACCCAACGCTGGGGGTGCCCCATTGAGGTCCCTGCTCATCCAGACCCGTGGTGTCTTGCAGATCGGCCTCCCCCGGGGCTGTGCTCCTGCCCTGCTCCCCCAGGCGCTGCTGGGAAGGGCACAAGGCAGAGCACGGTGCTGAATTTAAACGGTTTTGCAGGGCGTTACAGGAGCACAGCATCTGAGGGGTTGGGAGGGACCTCAAAAGCTCCCCCAGTGCAATCAGGATCCAGAGCAGTCACACAGGAACACGGCCAGGGCTTTGGGTGTCTCCACAACCTCTCTGGGCAGCCTGGGCCATGCTCTGGACCCTCACACTGACAA